AGGTCCCCTCGCAGCCTTCTCTTCTTCAGGCTGAACAAGCCCAGCTCCCTCAGCCTCTCCTCGTAGGGGAGATGTTCCAGTCCCCTCATCATCCTTGTAGCCCTCTGCTGGACTCTCTCCAGTAGCTCTTCATCTTTCTTGAAGTGGGGAGCCCAGAACTGGACACAGTACTCCAGATGGGGTCTCACTAGGGCAGGGTAGAGGGGAAAGAGAACCTCCCTTGACCTGCTGGCCACACTCCTCCTAATACATCCCAGGATCCCATTAGCTTTCTTGGGAGCCAGGGCACACTGCTGGCTCATGGTTAACCTGTTGTCCACCAGCACTCCCAGGTCCCTCTCCACAGAGCTGCTCTCCAGCAGGTCCGCCCCAAGCCTGTACTGATGCATGGGGTTGTTCCTCCCCAGGTGCAGGACCCTGCACTTGCCCTTGTTGAACCTCATCAGGTTCCTCTCTGTCCAACTTTCCAGCCTGTCCAGGTCACGCTGAATGGCAGCACAGCCTTCTGGTGTATCTACCACTCCTAAATCACTCACTGATCTTACAGGACTTACAGAACTTACTTTCTTTCAAACAATAATATCAAATACAGCAATATCTTTTTTTTAACCACAGACTATTTGAATTTAAATTACCAATTTAAACTTTTAGAAATTACAAGTAATTAGTTTGCATGTAATAGTTAATACAGCATAAAAATTAGAAACGTATGTGGGGATGTTATTTCCACATTCTAAGCTTTTATCAGCAAGACGGTGTTTTATATAGTGCAGCTTGGATTTTTTTCAGAAATCAAGATAGAATTCAGTTTCAATACAGAATTGCCTACTGCAGATATCTCAAATTTCCACATCTTTCTTCAAAGTGTACATGGTGGCAGGGGCAGGAACAGGAAATCATACGCAAAAGCTTTGCAAAACTTGACGAAATTGTACATTTGTGTCAGGCTTACTGAATCTGTGTCCTACTGTCTTGCACGATGGCATTGATTTTACCACCTAGACCTTTTGGTCATGCTATTTATGCTTTCTCCAGTACTTCAGTTCTGCCAGTTCCTCACCTGGTGCTGTTTCTTCACCCTAGAGGCAAAGTCCAAGCTGTGTACTTAGGGCTGTCCTCATGGCCCTCAAGAGCTGACTGCAGTTAGAGAAGCACTCTCCTGCAGCGTGTCAGGCTGTGAGCCTGAATCCAGGGTGGATTTGGTTGAAGTGTGTATTTCCATGGCTGTTGGCTCTCAGACTTCTTGAGCCCTCAACCATGAGGAGATTGGGATGTAGGGGGGAGCTGGGCAGGTGGGAAGGAGTCTGTTGACTGCTGTGAAGGCATCAGCCAAACTAACGAGAAAACCAGGTATACTCCCAGGAGGCTTACCTCCTCTGTGTGGCAGTCCACGCTCCTGGTGGAATTTTTTAGAGATACACACATCAGAAAGGGCTGCAGACCCCCAATTTACAGGGATATTCTTACTGGGACAATATTATAACATTTGCTAGTGCTGCCAAATCTTGCTTGAGCTGCCTTATTTCAGTGCAGCTGAGAAATAGTTGTCTTCAAACCCTGCATACCATGGTGCGTGGCACTGGCACCCCACCGGTTATTGGCAGCTGCCACCTGTAAGTGCACGTCCCTCCTTGTTGTTCCTGTATGGCTCACCTGTCAGGCCGTACCCTTGAGCAAGGTTTGGAGGCAGTGCGTTGTGCTTCTGTTTCACTACAGTTGCTGGTTTCCAAGATGTGATTGTCCATATGCTACAGTGAATTTACTGAAGCATTCCCACATCCCTCAGGCTGGTTAACTCCTGCTTAACTGTGGACCAACTTGTTGCAAACAGTTTTAAATTGTAGCCTTAATAAAAGCTAAACAACCAAACTCACATTGCCCTAAAATCCTGCTTTATCTATTTGGGTATAGCCTTTTGTGCAATTTCAACAATTCAGCCATGCCTCTCCATCCCATTAGAAGTAATAAATCAAGAGTGTCACTATATTCAAGGTGATCCTCTGTTAAATGAAGCTGTGTAATAGTGTCCTTGTGCTGTGTTGTTTCTTAGGACTGTGATGCAGCTCTTGCTATCTTTGTTAATCTTGGAAATCACAGAGCTTTCTTTTTAGAAGCCTCTGAAGAAAACCAGTAAGAAACCTTCCCTTCAGATTTGGGGCAAACAAATCCTACTGCTCTCTGTGTTTCCTGACCCAGCTCTTCTGTCCCATACTGCCAAGTTCATTTATGTTAACATCACCTCCCATGTGCCCGAGTTCTTTGTTGGCAGGGTGGCCTTAGTCTGATACAGCATGTACAGTGATGGGTGAGCTCTCGGGTCATTGATTTGGACTGGGGATATGCTTCTTGCGACACACTAACTAATACGGAGAGGTGAGAACAGTCGTTGATCCCAGGGAGTCATGGAGAGTACTGACAGAGGTATTTAATACAGCATGTCAAATTCTTTCTGTAGGATTTGCATAGTGATTAATTAAGTATCTGCACAGCACAAAAGCATTCAGTTACATTAGATGTTTTTGCTTTGCTGCATTCTAAGGATAACGGAGAACAAAAGGGGAAATAAGTTGGGCTAGAACAGGTTTGGGTAACAGTAAGGTAAAACAGAAATAACTGTAATCTAGAGACTAGATAATAGGGTTGAAATTCAGTCTTGTCCTGGGTTTGGCCAGGACAGGGTTAATTTTCACCGGACTCCAGGAAGGGGCACAGCCGGGGGGTGGGGGCTGACCCCACCTGGCCAATCAGAGCCCGGTATTCCATACCATGTGCCGTCAGGCTGGGTTCCGGGGGGGGCTGCGCGACGGGAACTCACTCGCGGCTTGGCAGGGCGCGGCGCCGGTCCTGTTTGGGAGAGCGGGTCTGTGGGGTCGTGCGGTTCGTTGTTGTGTTTTCTCCTTATTTGT